TTATCAACGTGTCGGTTCTCTGAACCATTCATCTACAACCAAATTCCAAAACGGTGGCGGAGACCAACATGGCCTCCAACACGATCAAGGACATGACCAATAAGAGAGACCAACAAAAAGCCACTGCAAGGGTATACACAATTCCCTACAACAACTGTGATAAAATATGCATAGATAAAACGTCTAGGAAACTCCAGGAACGCATTTCCGAGCTCCAATATGCTAACAGAACTGATAACTTGAATAACACCTCTGTTCACATCGAAATTCCCACAACCATTTGATTAATTACAAGGATGCACTAATCATTATTAAGGAGGAGGACACCCAGGGACGCAGAATCCTAGAATTAGCTCTCATCAGCATTTCCAGTAATTTCACCCAGAACATCGATTGGCTTCAAAAGCTGATCTTTCTGCGAAAAAAAATCTAGATTGTCTTCCCACACAGCAACAGCTCAGAAAAGTGTAATGACATGCCGACCTCGTACCACTGCAATGATCTGCACACAATGTATTTCGCCTCACTGTACTCTCCTATAGTTACTGTTCCTAGCCAGGTTTATCTGTAACTTTATAAAATCCACTGTGTGGGCGAAACGTCGACAATAAAGACTTGCATTAAACTGCATTCGTGTGTGCCTTTTATGTGTCTTACGTGTATCGAAATGTTGGGACTAGTCACAAGTGGTATTTTACGGGGGTCACTGTTGGGCCTCTTCGAAATCTATATTAACGAACAAGATGAAGAAATAAATAGCGACATAAGTTCGCTGACGACATAAAACAACAACAACAAAAAAAAGTCGACAAATAAACTATGAAAAGGACGCAAAGGAACTTCAGGATGATTTTGATAAATTTATGTTGTCTAAAAACTGGCACATATACCAAGTTTCCCAGTGGGTCGCGGAAAACACTATGACTGTATTTTGCTAAGAGCTGATATCCTGCCTCAGCCTTTCACTAGTAATAACTTTATTGTAAATAAATCATAAGTTTGCGCAAAATATATTACTAAGAAATATACATATATATAATACGATAAAGTTAGAACCAGCTGTGGGTCATTTTTCATTTGGTGAAACTCGCGTCGTTTGAGGAACTGAATGGTCGTTGATGGAGTGGATGGGCTTGAAATTGGTACCACCAGAGTAAGAATGGTGATGGCTGCCTGTCGTATGGGGTAATAGCTGTCTTCCCGCTGTCCGTTAAGTTGAATCATGTGTGGTACACTGAGAACATCGGCCTTATGCATAATATTAGAGAAGCCAGCATATCTACTGTGTTTAAAGCTCTGTTGAAATGACATCTAGGCCAGGTCGAAGTGTTAGATAAGTCGCCTTGCACGGCTCTCTACCTTCTCCAGTAATTGGAAACGAGATGAAAGGGGTAAGGGGTAGGTAATCGAAGAAAGTGGCGCATACTCGTGGTGAGGGCGAACTTGTGCCTAGCATCGAGTTTTACAGTTCCAGCTGTCTAGAATGTGCAAGATACACCTTAGCACTGCAATCTTCTTGGCTGCCGTGTTTGCAAGTGTGTGCCTCTCCCCTTCCTCCCCTCTCCTCTCATTTTTCCTTTCCTCTTTCCCTCCCTCTCCCCTTTAAAACTCAGGTGGGCGTCCCTGGACCCTGTGACTCACCCAAGAGTGGTGGGGTATGGGTAGGGAGGGAAGCAGTGGGGCGAAAGAGGACTGGGTGGTTGGGTGGGGCCGCCAGGGAGGGGAAGATGTTGGGGAAGTCACGGCCGCTTGTGTAGGACACCTGCATCACCACATCAATGACGTCTCCGCTGCCCCAAGGACTCCCTCGGAACACCTGTGTCTGGGGTGTCCCTACTTACTGCTGTTGGAGTATCCCACTGCTGCTGGCGTGTTGTGGTGTTGCTGCCGGTGTTGTGTTATCCCACACCTGTTTTTGCCTTCTCATACACTACACTGCCTAAGCTGTAGTGAATACTTTATAAATGTTTCTTACCGTAGAAAAACTCTCGTTGCATTCCACGACTTAATTCATAAATAAGTGTTTTTCTTCGCACTTTTTACGGTTGTTTTAGAGTCCTTGCAGTTGCAGCACCAGCGTTCTTATTTCACATTCGTAATAAATAGTGAATGAGTGAGTAGAATTGTGAATAGCCTGTGTAACGCATGGCGATGGCATATATATATATATATATATATATATATATATATATATATATTATATATATATATATATATATATATTATATATATATATATATATATATATATATATATATATATATATATATGCATGCTGTCGTGGACTAGTACACCAAACAGGGATGAGAATGAAAATTAACCTAGAAGCTCCCACAACACCGAATGTCCTCGGATGGCGGTAAAACGGCTAGCTCTGCTGGCCGCGCCATCTTTGTAGGATTGGATGGTCCTGTGGTTCTAGCATCATGAGGCGGGCCAGTACATGGGCCGTCTTGTGTGTGTGTACTCACCTAATTGTGGTTGCAGGGGTCGATTCATAGCTCCTGGCCTTGCCTCTTCTCTGGTCGCTACTAGGCCCACTCTCTCCTTGCTCCATGAGCTTTATCGTACCTCTTCTTAAAGCTATGTAGGGATCCTGCCTCTGCTACATCATTCTCCAGACTGTCCCACTTCATGACAACTCTTATGACTAAAGAAGTACTTCCTAACATCCTTGTGACTCGCCTGAGTTTTCAACTTCCAGTTGTGACCCATTGTTGCTGTCACATCAGGAAACATTCTGTCCCTGTCCACCTTGTCAATTCCTCTCAGCATTTTATATGCCGTTATCATGTCTCCCGTATCCCTCCTGTCCTGCAGTGTTGTCAGGTTGAGTTCCTTAACTTCTCCTCGTAGGACATAACCCCTCAGCTCCGGAACTAGTCTTGTCGGAAAGCTTTGCACTTCTCTATTTTCTGGTGCTTCTCTAATTACTGGTGCTACATACTTCAATATGGGCTTGACGTACACGGTGTACAGTGTCGCGGATGACTCCTTAGATGTCGAAATGCTATTCTCAGGTTTGCCAGTCGCCCATGTGCTCCAGCAGTTGCTTGGTTGATGTGCGTCTCAATAGATATGCTCGATATGATGCTCACCCCAAGATCCTTTTCCTTGAGTGAGTTTTGCACTCTTTGACCTCTTGAGCTGTATAGTCCTTGTGGCTTAGCGCTTCTTTTTGATTATAATAATAATAATTTGACCTCTTGAGCTGTACTCCGCCTGCGATATGCTTTGTCCTCTCCCAAGCTTCCTAACTTTGCACTTTCTGGGGTTAAACTCCAGGAGCCATTTGTCGGACCAGGCTTGCAGTCAGTCCAGATCCTCTTGTAGGCTTACCTGATTCTCGTCCGCTTGTATTCTCATTAGCTTCACATCGTCTGCGAACAGGGACACCTTTGAGTCTATACCTTCCGTCATGTCATTCACATATACAAGAAACAGCTCCGGACCTAGGACTGACCCTTGTGGAAACCCACCCGACACATGCACCCCCTCTGACACCTCTTCTCGTACCAACACGCGTTGTTTCCTTCCTGTCACCTAATCCCTGATTCATTGCAGTACTTTTCCTGCCTGTTCCTCTAGCTTTTCAACCAGTCTCTTGTGTGGTACTGTGTCGAAAGTCTTCTTACAGTCCAAGAGGATACAGTCTACCCATCCCTCTCTCTCCTGTTTTATTTCTGTCACCTTGTCGTAGAACTCCAATAGGTTTTTGACGCAAGATTTCCCTTCTCTGAACTGTGCTGGTTGTCATGTATGAGCCCGTTCCTGTGTGTGTGTGTATGTGGTGGTTGTTTGTGTGTTGGGGTGGTGCCGCGTGTGTGTGTGGCGCGCGCGCCGTGGTGTGCGTGTGTGTGTGTGTGTGTGTGTGTGTGTGTGTGTGTGTGTGTGTGTGTGTGTGTGTGCGTGTGCGTGTGTGTGCGCGCGCGTGCGCGCTCGCGCGTGGTGGTGTTACCGTCGTGTGTATGAAGATGAACTGATGTTTTCATGAAATGGTCTAGTGTTGGTGGAGACCTTGTGTTGGTAATTATATGTTGCTTGAAGCTGGTATCATGTATGAAGTTGGACCTGTGCTCACCTATATGTGGTTGCAGGTGACGATTTGCAGCTCCTGGCCTTACATACATACGTGTGTGTGTGTGTGTGTGTGTGTGTGTGTGTGTGTGTGTGTGTGTGTGTGTGTGTGTGTGTGTATGTATGTGTGTGGACCTTGAAAGGTTGGTCTAGGATGAGAACGTGTTGGTGTGGGCGGGGGAAGAGATGCATACGTACCATATGATCGAAACCAACGGCAGCCCCATCATCAAGAGAAATCAACAAGAACAGCACAAAGAGCATATGCCTCAGTAGTAGGAACAATAGCAGCAGTAGGAACTACGATAACAGCCTCTGAAGCACGAACAGCAGCAAGAATAACAGGAGCAAGCAACAAAAGAAACAACAGCAGCATTAATAAAGAACAGAAGCTGAATTAACAACAGCTGCATTAGTATTATCAGCAGGAAGAACAACAGCAACATCAGGATAAACAGCAGTGAGAGCAATAGCAGCAGCAGCAGGATGAGGAGGCGGAGGAGGAGGAGCAGGAGGAGGCCAGTGAGTCCAAGTTGGTGTATCGTTCTCCACCACTACCAGTGTCGTAGCTGGCTACACCATCGTCAGGCACGCTCCCACCATACAGCTGGGGTAGAGAGAAGTTGGGGGAGGGGGAATATGCCTTGGCGACGGGGTGACATCCAGCAGACGAGACGGATCTCTCTTACCCCAGGTGCCCTCCTGTTTGCCCTCACCCCCGACCTAGCCTTGAGTAGGGCTAGTGTAAGCTGGGTGGCGGGTAATGTGTGTGGTGCTTGTGACGGCGTGTTGCGATGCTTGCAGGCAGGGCCCAGCTAGCCCGCTGCCGCCACACCCCACACACACACAAGCACGACTCAGAGGTCCCATTTGCCTGCTCTCTAGTGCAAAGGCATCTCCATATGTTTGTGTTTTAACTTTAGCATTGTGATGACTCGCCATCAATCAACATGCTGGCCATCCTCAACTTTATTCGTGGGTGAGTGAATGTGATCCTTGTCATTATGGGCTTGCGTCGTGTACTGTAATCCACCAGCATCTCCACTAACAAGCACGATGAGTTACTTCACGGTATGTTCCTGCTGCTGCCACTCCTTAGTCCTTACTTTTGACCAGTACAAATTGCGAGACGAAACGTGATTTAGTAGTGTGAGAGGTTATAATCAGCTGCAGAAAATGGAATTATCAGTGCTGGCAAAGTTAAAATGAAACTTTGCGCCGATGATTTGAAAAAATATTAAGTGTTTCCGTTCTTGAAGTCACAGTGAGCTTAATAACCATCGGTGGTGATGTTACAGTAATACAAACATCTATAAGAATTTACTAAACGCAAAGCAATGAATTTAAGTTTGTCATCAATATATTTCAGTGGAGAGGCTTGCAATTTGTTCTCGCTCAGAAAAAGAAATTACAGAACATGACTTTACAAAAGGGTGATGTGTAATTTATTCTCGTTCTGTAGTGGAGAAGGCCAGAAGGAAATATATTTGAAACTGATTGATAAGGAAAAGTAAGACACATGGTATTGGAGGGGACTTTCAGATACCAGCAGTTTTCTTCTCTGGATGATTGCATAAATTCATACTGGATTATTGCATACTTGGTGGGCCTCCATGGAGATAAAAGATATAAAATACCGACACAATGGAATAAACACAAATGTGATCCTTTATTGACTACGTTTCGCACACGTAGTGGGCTTTATCAAGTCACGAACAGATCTGCCTGAGTAGGTTAGGTAAGGTAATTTGGGTAAGAATGCATGAGTATATATAAGGGTGGAGAGTCAGATGAAGAATGCTGGGTAGGTTAGATTTGAGACGGGTCTTGCAGGTCTGTCTCAAATCCAACCTACTCAACATTTTCCACATGACTCTCTACACTATATATACTCGTGTATTTTTTACCCAGGTAGATTTGTTTGTAACTTGATAAATCCCACTGCTGGGCGAAACGTAGTCAGTAAAGAATCACATACTGCATTTGTTTTATTTTTACATGAGCTTCACTGTCTGTAGAAAATGCAAGTAGCTGTAAATTAAGGGCGTCATCCTTCCCATAGTCTCGTCTCAAACTGTGAGGATCGCCAGATCTGGTCAAAGATTAATGATCTGTCATAATTAGTTTTCCAAACTATTTGAGGCTTGAGGTCTCCTGTTTAATCGTTTGCTCAATCAGCCTGTTGGTGCAACTGAAAAGTATACTGTCCACTGTAATACAGATTAATGGGATGAATGAATTTGTTTGCTGCACATAGCCATCGGTGTTTGAATGACGTAGCAACATGTTGAGTATTTTGCAAGAAGTAAACTTCATTGATTGTATGAAAATTGAAGAGTTGAGAAAGTCAGTCGATGGACAGTGGTAACCAGAAAGAAAATGATTACTGGAAAAGGGTGAACAAGAGTAAGGATCACAATACTGCTGGATGCATGTGCTGAAGTGGTAACCATTCAGAATTAAGGTAGGATAAATAAAATAAAATAAAATGATTCTTGGGAACTCAGCATATATAATATGGACAGGACACACTGTAGTACAGCTAGAAAGAGGATAGTGCGGGTGTTTTCCTTGGGACTAGGATGAATGTTAGCCATCATCCACCAACACCTTGACTCGTCAGACACCGGGACACCATTAGCACACAAGATTCAGCCTTCATTAATTAGCGCTAAATCTTCCACACTTTAATTTTTCACGAAACACAGTGCAATATAGTATGAATTGCCTGCCATGTATAAGAAAGTTATGGAGTTCAACAGGCCAAATAAAGGGCTTTTGATGCTGTACAATATTTTGCTGAGAAAAGGAACGGAGAGTACATGGACGTCCAGGCCTGAGCAACTGATACGAATTGCTAGCTGGAGAAGTACTACAATGAAAAAAATAGCATTCACTGACTGTTGCGGCAAATTCTGTGGCAAATATAATACACATGTAAGTGTTGAGGCGGCAGTTGCAGTAGTTATCTCTTGACTTTAAAAACTGAAAGATGATACGGGTATGGGTGTGTATGAAGAAAAATAAGAATTGTGACAAAATTAAAAAAAAAATGGTCTAGACAGAGGGCAAACAACTTTAAAATACAAGTAATCTAATCCGTTGATCACCTGAATGTTTGTCATATTTCATCACGTAGGATTAAACGATTAAGCTATCATAGGAGTGACATTACGCTGTTCTAAAGAGGACCAAGTGGACTGGATGTTATATTGTCCGTGTCTTTGCCCTCTGGTGAAGCATGACTTCATCTGACGCACTAGGTTCATGTATAATAAATTAATAAATAAATAATAGAAACTCATCCAGTTTATGACAATACACATCTGCTAGTTACTTATTGCAACGCATCTATCAAGGGCTTATATTTATATATGGAAAATTCACATTTAGACATCCCAACAAAGTAATTATCAATCATTCCTCTAAGGTTTTTGTTTAGTCTCAGAACACCGCATCCGATTGGCTTAAAAAAAATTCGATGTTGGTGTACAATATGTATGGAAAGATTTATGGTATTGTGTGTCCCTTGGTCAATTTTCCAGACCAAACTGATATCGGTTTCTGTGTGATAACTTGAGATCGGCTTCATAGTTTCGACATAGGTGTATCCTATATAGAAGGTTTTGATTTTCACTGGAGTGTGTAGATGCTACACTCAAATATGAAAAGAATGAAGCATTCTAGAGGGGCACTGCATACTAAACACAGGATTATCGCCCCATAGTACAAAATGAACATGTAAAATAAACTTGGGTAAAATAAAGTCAGCTGAGCCTAGTCTCAATCCTACATATTTCCATAAAGTACTGGAGTGAATGATGGTAACCCTAGGACACAATAAGAGAGCACCATGTCAACATCTGTGGCCCTTGGCTGCTCTGTTTGCTACCAGCAGCTATCAGAAATGTTGCTGGAAGAATCGTATAAGTTTTCTAGAAGAACTGGATCACTAGTTCCACGGAATGCCAGATTAACCAGGCTGATGGATATGTGGGCGAGAGGGACACCAAATGCAAGCCAGATTGACCAGGAAATTGGGAGTGTGACAGTAGGAAAACTTAAAAGTAGTCACAGGTAAAAAAAAAAAAAAAAAAAAAAATTAGGGGTTTTACCTGAGTGATGACCCATGTGATGAGGGCATTATGACCACGAGCTGGGACACCATGCAACTGTTAAATTTTTTTTCTTTTTAAAGAATTTGAGCATAGAATCAGAACTCAGCCTCCTGCATCTTGAACTATCACAGAGACGATGCCTCTTCAAACTGTATTTCGATGGATGGTTGGCATGCTGGCTAATGAAAATAGCTGTCTCGGCAGGTGCGGTCTTCTTTACATCCTCTGGCTCTTTTCAGTGCTGTTGCAGTTATTCTATCGCTGCCACCAGAGTCAGCTTGGTTACTACTGCAAGTGGGATAGAAGACAAACACACTATGGGCATGATAGTGGCTTTCTGTGTACTTAGCAAACCAAAATTGTAATTACACATTGTAACCTTTATCTTTATTTTCATGTTTCCCACCACAGGAACTATTTATGCTGGTTCAAAGGATGCACATAACACTGCTTAGATGTACACACATACTGATACAGCTGCATGGTTTTAATTGTACCTTCATGTATCTGCTATATAGTAATCAAGACATTGTTTTTCAGACGGCGAAAGAAGCAGCAGTACAGTAGTCGAGGGACCTCTCACATTGCCCAGCCTAGTAGTCGCATACGAGGCTCTGGTATCCCAGTTGTTAAGGCCTCCAACCTGCCTACTCAGATACCCAGTGGCCCCACCCACAGCCATGCCCAGCAGGTATGTACAACTTACTCTATGCACTCGAGTGCATTGTAGGTGCCCTTTCAATCTAGATGGGTAGACTTACATACTGGCCTTCAATAAGTCCTGCACAAGAGGTAAGTGATTACCTTACATCCATGCATGGTCATTCAAAATATTTATACATCTAGCAAATAGATGTATATTTGCAAAACTCTGTACTGAAGATATGTGGCCAAGTGAGCTTTGCACAAGTCTTACCATGCTCAGTGTGTATGCAGGTAAAGTACATAAATTAAGCTTTGCTTTTCTTTTGATAATTTATTGACTGCATGTACTGTAATACATGCCAGTTTAAACTCATATGAGATGTTTTACATACAAGCATTTCTCAAATGCTTCCTTATTTATTGTAATGAGACATTTTACTCATCGTAAATTTTGTTGCATTGTATTTCGTGTTGTAAGATGATGAACTGCCCTGCACTAACCTTTAATACTTGGTACAATATGTGTATTACTCTATTCCCAAATAGCATTGGGCAGAGTCAGTAAATGTTTATGTTTTTATAACGCTTTATGTTATAGCTCAAAATCTTATTTTGTTTGGTCTTATTTAACTGAATTTTTGATCTTATTGAAATAATTCATGCAAATATTTAATTTTCAGCATTTTTATATTTTCACTTTATTTGTGTATGTAAATGTTCTTATTTACTTTGTGCATAATAAGGCTTTTTGTATGAGACCTCTTCCATCCTGATAATGGAGACTCCAAGTTGAGGAATGTAAAATTGCATATACCACCCTGTTCAATGTACTGATGGGAGTTATATAACCATACAAAGCCAGGAAGGTGTTACTATAAAATTCAATGGAAATTTTATTTTTAATTAAAAATGGCCTGTATTGGTCTAAAGAAATGTGACTTATTTAATAAAATAAAAGGTAGATAATGAATGATTTTTTTTAATGAAAATGTCAAAAGAAGTTTAATATTGATAGGATAGGAAAAACTTCAGAAAAAACATAATTAGGCCAGTTTGTGAAAAACTGGAAGACTTGGAGACTCTTCAACAGTGGTGATAATGTCCAGTACAAAAGCTGATCCAGTAGTGCTGCTTCCACAGGGTGTTGGTGGCGGGGTTTGGGGGGGAGACACCCTTCGCACTTACTGCACAGAAGATACACCTGCCAGCATCTCTCATGCTGCTTCCATATCTGATCTCTCTCAGCTCTCCATCCCTGGAGAGGAGCCTACCAAAGAACGACATCCCTCAGGCCTGCGACCTAGTCTTAATGACTCAGGTGATAACTCATCAGATAATGACAATCTTTTGGAACAGTGCATTCAGTCTGGGATGCCCAAGGTAAGGTGCTGCAGCAGATACAGAGTTAGAAATCTCTCTTGTTAGAAATATGGTTTTGAGTTCAAACTTTAAAGGATTATACCCTAAATACAAAGAATATGTGGTGTATACAGTCTGACCTTGCTGAAAAATAATTTAAAGAAATTTAGAAAATATTCCAGTTTGAATTTCCAAAGCTGTTTCTTCTCAAAAAGTAAAACCTTTCCATATGGTTTGATTTAAACTCTGCACTTGTGTATCCATGCCTCGGTTATATTTTTAACTTGTCCTTATATTGTATTGTGCACTGCATACAATGGTATTGCATACTTTTTCCAGTAACATAAGTGTTAAGTTTTTGAAGACTAGTGGTAGCTTCCTGTCTTATTTCATGAGGGAGTGTAATCCTAGTGTTTTGTCTGGAGCACAATCACTCACTCTGCAATAGTATAGTGCACAGGGGTACACAACCCTAAGGAATTTTCTTAAATTAATAAGTCAACCTCACTTGTCTTATTACAGATATTCCTAGCTTAGTGATGGGTACTGTAGTATGACACCCTTGGATTTCATATATGGTATAATGCCTTAAGGTTGAAGTGGCTTGTAGCTACAAGTGACAACACCACAAGTACTCATGCTTATTTCAATCATTCTACTACATTTAAATTAGTGTGTATGTCATGCCAACAGATTTGGAATTTAAAAGTTATTTTTTTACTTTTAGTTTTCTAAAAAATGTATATAATGCCCTAAAAAAATAAAATTTTTTACATGTGATATACTTTTAAAAAATGCATTTAAAATATGTATTTAATTCATTGTTTGTTTTGAGTTCTAGGAATTTCTTCAGATACTTGGGTAGCATTTTCTCTCCCTACTGTGGCAACAGCCATAAAGAATAATGTGTTGTAATTACTGCAACTTTATTGTAACCTTCAGGTTACATGTAGTATTTTTTTTACCTCATCATCTCCCAGCAAGGCAGGGTAACTAAAAATGTTACACACACACACACACACACCATCATTCATTTGGTAACTGTCTTGTCAGAAGTGTACTGACATCACAATTCAGATGACCCTCTGACTGAAATATCTTATTGTAATGTTAATTTTTTCAGGTGCGTCCAGGAGTTAAAGTGAAGGAAGTGAAGCTGAGTGTGAAACGTCATGGATCAGGCCATTTGTGTTCTCATGGGGCACCAACTGTATCAGTTCCTCCCCTGGCCTCGCCTCGACATTCTCCTCATCATCGCCCTGTTCCAGTAGCCAGGGTCACTCCTGCTGTCAAAGTGGGAGGAGCTCGAATTTCACCACATCCTCCACCCGCCCTGGATGATACGCCTGGTGATCAAGTGTGTATGTGGGCCACAGAAGGTACTCCGGCAACATTCTCCCGTACTGATTCACTTTCATCACTTAGTTGTGATGATGATGCCAACAGAACCAGTAGAGATCCTAGTCCAAGGACACCTGTATCCCCACGTTCCCGTACCCCACAGTCCCCACAGCCACAAGCACAGTCTCCACGTGCACGAACACCACAGTCTCCACGTTTGCGAAGGTCCAGAAAGTCTCAGATCCAGCGTAGGGGACAGGATGTAGATGTGGAAAATGAGGTACCTCAGCAGTTTGCCGTTGAAGGTACTCCTGGTGTAATATCTCGACATTCATCTCTTAGTTCAATTGAAGGTGGAGATGAAAGTGCTGTTATTCAAGCGCCTCATGCACCACAGGCAGGAGGTGTTCGAAACTATGGAGTAGAGGACACCCCAGTATGCTTTTCAAGAAATTCATCACTAAGTTCTCTCTCTGTTGATTCTTTTGGGGAAGAGACAACACCAACAGAACAAGCATTACTGCAGCAGTGCATTAGTCAAGGTATGCCTAAGAGTAAGTCAGATCTAGAAAGTCGACGCCGACGTCGAGGTGGCTCTCGAATCCCTGCTCCATCATCTCGATCGCCTGCTCGTCTCGTACCAGGTGTTCCCATGCAGAGGCTTACACTGTGTAGAGATGAACATGCTACTCAGTCAAAAAACGTGGGTGCGATGGCGGCAGCTGTAGACGATGTGGACACAGACGCCGTCATGCCCATGCCAGATGCAGAGAGCTCCAAGCTACACACAGATTCAGAACAGAACGAGAAGAATGAACGTGTAACTAAACATGAAGAGAGCGAAGTTGAATATAAGGAGGAGGAGGAGGAAGAGGAGGAGGAAGAGGAAGATGAAAGTGCCACTGAACATTCAGAGGCACTAACTACTGCAGAAATTGGTCATCCTAGAAGTGAAGTAACTAGTGAAGGGAGTGGTGCAACAGTCGTTACTCGACCAGTGTCCAAGGAGGAAAAATCACCTGAAGAAGAGCCACGTGTCAGTGATGGATCAGCAGAGGGCCCTGGATCATCTCCTGAAGAAAAGCATTCTTGGGTAGAACACAGAAATTCTGCAGATAAATCTTCTCCTTCTGAAGGCCGAGGTTCAGATACATCAGTTACTGCTTCAATGTCAGAATCAGGATTATTAGCTATAGAAGCAATGAAGGTTGCTAGGGCTGTTGCAAGTGAAGCTAAGCTTCTCAGTAGTGATGAAACATCTCATATGTCACAGAGTGTAGCCAGTGTTGCCTCAGATGCATACCTTGACAATATAAAACCTCCATCAGCAATGGGAAGTTTAGCATCGATGTCCAATAGCCTGACAAACAGTGCAGAGGAACAGAGAGGTACTCGCTCAAATAACCGTCGTCTGGAATGCCGTCACACACGTCGAGTGCCAGAAATGGTTCGCCGTGCTCTTGGTGAACAAGATTATGGCTCAACTGAGAATATGGCTAGCATGGCCAGCTCTTGTCACTCAAATGTAGATAATATCCCACCTCCTTCTATGTTAGATGATGATATGGAAAATTCCATGATAAGTGTTGCATCTATTACATCTGAAGTTGCAGAGCAGCGAGAATCTCCACCCTCACCTCCAGCAGATCATACTGCACAAGTAGCTGCTCCAGCACGTCAGCTTGCAGCCATTTTCCAAAGGGAAGCCATGAATGCTGCTTCAACACTCACTCTAACTGGTGGGGATGAAGCTTCTACTTACCAAGAAATCACAGATATAACAGAACATGAAGAAACTGTTGGACCTGCCAGTGATACAGAAATGGCTGCTGATGATTTACCATCTGACATACCTGATTTACCTCAAGATGGGTTTTCATCTCCTCTTTGTGCATCTGCCCATGCTTCACCTAATAGACAAGGTACACCAAGGACTCGCAGACAACTAGCGAAAGACCGATTCCGCACTTACACCCGAGGTGATGGGGAAGTATTTTCTGATGCTACTCCATCTCAGGACACAGATCCAACTTTAGTTGAAGCTCTTCCCTCATCACCATTGGTGGGTCGCACTCCTAAGCAGCGCCGGCAAGATGATGCTGAACGCTTCAGAACCAGGACTATATCCTCAGAAGGTACTGGGCAAGAGAATATTTCTACCAGTACAGTCCCTCATAAGGATGAAGCTAAAGTTAGTCCACGAAAATCCCCCAAAGATCGTCGCCAGCAAGACCCCAGTCGTTTCCAAACACACACCATCACCGAGGTGCAAGTTCCTTCAGAAGTAGAACAAGAAGCAGCTGTTCAAAAAGCTGAAAATGGTGAAATATCACCCTCTTCACCACAAAAGATGCAGGGGAGACAGTCATTTAGGCAGCGACGGCAAGAAGATAGAGAGCGATATCAGACCCGTACTATAGATGTACCACTGGCAGATATTACACCTGAATCAGCAACTGAAGATGAAGGCAAGAAGGAAGAAGATGGTACATTAGTTGATTTTCAGGACAGTAATGAAATGCTTGATTTAACAGCTGAACAGCTTGAAGCTTTACAGCAAGATGCTAATATTGTTATCTGTACTCTGAATGAAACGCGTGAAGCTATGACTAGTGAATCTTCCGATCTTCTTAGTGAAGAAAATATACTAGATATTGAAACTCTTAGCCTAATTTCAAATGAAGATGAATCAGAGATGAGAAATTTTCTTCAGGACTTTGATGACGACCCGCCAGATAAAGGAAGTAGCGAGGAGGAGGAAGAGGCAGAAAGGCAAGTTATACGACGCCCACGGATTGTAAAGCCCGGTGAGGAGACTGCACGCTTACAAGAGGAGGAGGAGCCTTCCGGCAAAGCCATTAGAGGCCGTAGAAAGCCGCTTTATTATAGCAAAAAACCTAATGCAATACCTACTAAAGCTACTTCAAATTCCACCGCAAGTCCGGTTAGAACAATTCCAGTAAGACCAACTCCTGCCCGCCCAAGTTCTGTATCCCCAGCAAAACCATCTTCCCCTAAACTACCTCGTGCAACAAGAGCTTCTGCATTACGTCAAACTTCCAATCTACAAAAAGGGGGTAGCAGTGGAGAGGACAGTCCTACAGGAAGAGCAACAGGATCCTCAGCTGGTAGCAGTGCAGGATCGAGCCCTCGCTTGGGCCCAGGATCCCGTGCCAATAATATTAGGCCAGCTCGATCAAAATCTCTAGCGAGATCTGGGCCTGAACCTCCTAAACCTTTGCATCGTCAAAATACATTTACAAAAGATGACAGTGATACACCACTAAGTCCAGAACACAATAGTCCAGCTGAAACTAAAAGATCTATCCCTACAACTAAAGGACTTTCCAAACCAAGGTTAAGGCGAGATATTGTACAGCCAAGTCCACCAGTCACACAACCAAGCTTGGGAGTACGAACTGGTATACCAAAGAGTGGCAGTCAAGATTTAAGTCCTACTAAAGGCAGACCACCACAGCACAAGTCAACTAGTTTGACACGTGATGCTCGACCTCCTACTTCCTCTGATATGGCTGAATGGCGCCATGATGTTCCTAAAAAGACAACTGTGAAAAAGGAAGTTACTAGTCGTATTGCCAATTTGTGGAAGAAGGTGGAACGTGCACAAGCTAAACCAAAAGATAAAGAAAAGGATTCTCGTATGTGGATAAAGCGTCCTGAATCGGCTGCTAAGGAAGCTTCACCTCAGCCCCTAGTACGCAGCTCCACTTATGAGAAACTACCAGTTAATGGAGGGAACAGTGGAGCTGGAGAAGCAGGAAAAGGAAGAACACGCCTGGGACTCAAATTAGCTAAATTAAGGGGTCGAGACACTCGGTCTTCACCACCTTCAGAAGCCACTACTCCAGTTGATCCTCGCCCTCATTGTTTAGTAAGTCCAACACGCTCTCGGGTAGCTGAGGCGAGTGTCAGACCTTCAGAAACTGTGCACCTTCGTCAGCGACCAGCTACCCATCCTCCAGGTACACATATTGGGCAGATGGAAGAAGATAGTGAAGCTCGGGCAAAACGACTGTCCCGCCTGGGTTCTTTTATTGTAGTTGAAGAGGATGGACGAGTCCGGTCTCCCCCGCAGTCTGCTATTGTTCCTCCCTTCAATTACCAGCCACCTGTTGCACCAAAAGTACGATCTGCTATTGCTACACGTATACCTCAGCCTTCCAAATCATTGCTTTCCAATGCGCCATGTGGTCGTGATGACAATGGAAATGCTGACCCATCAGTAGTAACAGGAGCATGGCGACCATGACCCAACCCCCCGCGCCAGACAAATCAAGCCCAAGATCCCCAAATACCAATGGGGCGCGGGGGTGGGGGGCAACAGAGACGTTGGGCCAGAAGGCCCGTGTGATCCTAAATAATTTATGTTCTCAAATTTACAAAACATGTGTTTATGCTCCACATAGCCACATAATGTTGTATGTAGGAGATGGATACTCAGTATAGGTAGTGACTGGTGCCTGTTCTAAGTACCAGTGCTACCAAGATACCCTTGTAAGGGTTTCCAAAGTGGGCCCAGGTAGGCTTTAGGCTGTATCCATCACACCATATGCAAAGCCAGGCTCATGAGCTGTTCCTATATGTATATAGTCTGTTCCTATACACACCATTTTAGTCAAGCATTTTTACCTTAAAAACTGCTTATATATAGAAGATTTATTTTTACTCAGTATTTTAGTGCATTTTCATGTGCATTTAATGTTTGTTTATGTTGTTCATTGCCATTTATCATAGTTTCTCCGAGTATGGAATAGATCCCGAGCCTGACATGCTTTAATCAGACCAACTGGTGGAAGCTGTAAGTCTACACTGTTACCATGAGCCCCTCATCACCTTGCTGCACCACACTGCTGATAAGCAAAGAAGTGTCCAGGAATGTAACCTTCAAGGAGCCAGCATAAAGTCATCTCATGGGTTTAGTAGGTAAAGCTTTACCAGAACAATACTTAATGCATTTATAAATTTCCTTTGTTTTCTCTATCTAAAGAATATCTAGAGGTACTATACTGTATTTTGTTTTCTGTGGTCTTGAGTTTTAATAAATTATTTATTCAGTATTAGAATTTTGTATATAAGCTTCCTGTTTTAATATATGGTACTTATTATGATTTGTATTTTTCTAATAAAGAACACTATTTTTTCACTGCATATTTCATGTTCCGTACTGCAAAGTAATGAGGAGTTATTCTTGATACAGCCTTAAATATTAAATGCAAGAATTTAAATAACTAGCTTTTGCCATGCTTGTTGCTAGTACTATACCCTTTATATCTAATAACAGTATATACTTAACTACTAAAAAAGTCTAGGGTTGGATCTTTCATACTACAAATCAAAGTTGAATTTCAAGTCCAATCTTGAAATTCACTGCACAGTGATATGCCTGTGCTGCAGCTACTTGTGACCCCTATACTGTTACTGTTCAAGCCTGCTGGAAACATCTTGACTTATGATAAGGTTTATCCACTTAGCTTATTAATTTTTTTTGAAGACAGCCCTATATAACAATGTATGAGAATTACCACATAATCAAGGAATTTAATTGATGTAAAATGAAAGTGTTCATCTTTGTGATGTAAAGTTCAATCCACACGTGGACTGAACTTGAGATGTAACATTCACGAGAACTGCCGAGATCAGGAAAAATTTCTTTGTATGATAGACTATATAAGTCAAGTGGGACAATTTATTTTTAACATAATTTATGGAAAATTCTATCCTTTTCAGTCAATAGATATTTTCACATAAATTGACAAATGTAAATATTAAATTTTATACCAAAACTGTTTGGCTAAATTTACCCATGCAAAAATTATGTATCCTGACCTAAGGTTAGCCTAACTTTAGTACTGTTTAACATTAAAATATTTTATTCTTAATTCAGACTGGCATTATTATTATTAAAGGGTAAGGGTTAAGCCCACAGAGGTCATAAAGTGCCTAGGGAAATGGGAGGCAATCAGGTTCTACCAGTGAAAGAGAATGACAGTGCCTTGCATCAATAGCTCCTCACTGACAGAAAGGAACTGCCTTTTAGGGGTACAGGGCATAGTTATTTCAGAAATGTAGTATAAGCCTGTCTTTAACCAAATAATCTCTACCAAATAATTCAAGTAAGATTGTTGTTCATTCCATCTGTCCCAACTAGTTTACCCTCTTTCATCCTATCCACTACCCACTGGACTTCAGGATTAAGAAACTTTAGATACTGCAAAAGATTGAAAGACAATATATCTGGCATCACTGGAAAACAGGAGAGATTTGTGATATAATCACTCATATAAAGCCACGAGAAAATAGAAAAAATTTCTCGGATTTAGTAATGAAGGTGGTGGCTGATATTTCTTTACAAACTAAATGGACTGGGATAGTGTTTCAGGATATCAATAACATAACTATAATGTAACCACAAAATAGGTAATACTAACTACAAATATGTATTTACATATACATTACATGATACAATTAGGTCAATATAGATTACATAAACAGTATGTAATAAAAGAAACCCAGCATAGATGATTTTTATGCACCACCAGGAGGAGATCGCACTTTTATACAAAAGGAAAAAAAGTGCCAAAGCTATATTTAAAGTAATTTTATGCAAACAGTAGTAGACTACTGGAATGGAATCCCAAAGGCAGCGAATACTGAACTTGTCTTCATAATCAAAGTCAATACAGACGTGGTATGTTATAAGCGGTTTCTCTTCGCTAAAAGACAAAAATATATAACCAAACCAAAATCTTGTAAATTGAGAGATTGACTGAAAACATGTGAGAAACTGACTTAGAATTAGGATAGGTTGAAATGTAAAGAAATACTGCAGACTGAACACTGTAGGGACAATGAACCTACCACTACTCTTATAACTACAAACTCCTCAAAGAGGTACTTTGATGTTAGTAAGGGGGTATCTGGTCCAAGGAGTACATCCTCTCTCTTCTTGGGGTGAACCAGATTGTCTCCCACTTTCCCAGGCACTTTGACCCTTATGGGTTTAATGCTCCCTTCATGAATACGACAAAAAGGTACCTTCACATATGCACATGATGTACATGTGCCATATTAATATACGAGTTCTGCAGAGCTTAGTTCTGTGATCAGCATATATACTACATTATATATTTAGGATGCACTAAACCTGTAGGGATCATACAGCAGGAATTGGGAGACAATCAGTATTAATCCAAGGAAAGGACATGTCATATTCCTTGGATCAAGAGCCACTCAACAGCATCAAGGAACCTCCTTTGAGGGGATAATACAATATGATAATGATTTCTCTCTTTACCAATCTTCTTTATCCACACTAACAATTAACCGTTTCCTTGACATTTGAGATACCAAAGACAATTGGTCTGTTGACAGCGAAGATAAAAAAAAAAATTTTTTTCTTTCAATGTAAATCGGTACCTTTACGTAAAGACACGTATTAAAAATGTTATAGTATATAGGCATAAACCAGTTAATACAGCAAACAATAAATACTATTTGGAAATTAATTATTCATATTGAAAGTGATTTCACATTTTGAACATCAATGTTATACAATGGGTTTGTGGTATGTCATGCATACATATATCGGTATGTCAATATTTTATTATCTGTGTCTATATTAAAAAGTATGTATGTGAGTAATACTGTTAAGTCTATAGTGTTCTAAGAGAGGAATCTCATGTCAGTGGTTGACAGATGCCACTGGTGCTATGTCTAGGGCTGAAGGGAAGGCAAATATATTTTTTAATGCATGCATTTTATACCAAGGACTGTGAGCTCTCATGTTTTAATGCAAATTAGTCAAGAAATTATTTATTGGAGGGAACATTATTTTTTTTTTTTGTCAAAAAAAGTGCATAAACAGAAAGACTCTTATTTGGAGCACTAATTACCTTCTTTTATGTGATTAAGAGAGCAACTCCTTTAATATTTATGCAGACTGTTATATTCAGTAAACCTTAAAATATTCATCTACAAACTAGATGCTTGACAAGAGTTTGAAATTTCTAAGGTTTCTGAACATAAGGTTTCTACAGCAATGGATTGGTTGGTCATGATTTTAAAAACTTACAAAACATGAAATCTGTCTATTAGTTTGACATTTTAATTCTTTATGAAGACTTGGTGCACTAGGTTTGTTTTTAAATTTTGGACATTTTGCTGTATTAGGAGTTTCATGAATTTGCTGGTAATAATGTACAGTACTGCATTGTGCATATTTCAGAGTAACATATAATAGCAGTTTGTTATATAAAACTTAGAGAATGCCCTTATGACTTTAAAGTTTAAACTTAGCTATTCTTTGTCGGCTTAAAAAAACATACAGGTCTCCCTCAACATTCGCGAGGGTTAGGGGATCAAGAGCCTTGCGAATGTTGAAAAACCGTGAATGTTTGGTGCCCCAATATATTGTAGGGAAATATATTACAATACTGCTTCCTTAACTTGTTGAACCATGAATAATCATAAAATACATGAAAACGTCGTAAATTGTACTAAATATATACATGTTATGCTTTAATAACATATGTTATTTAATAACATGTATGTTATTAAATACCACAGACTCCACCACTGCGAGTCCCTACTACCCTCCCTCCGACCTCCGCAACTGGCAGCCAGCCCTCCCACCACTCAGTGTGGTGAGTGTTTTGTTTGTTCATTATTTGCTATTAAACTACAGAATAAATAATGTAAACCCATTCATGACTGCATATTGGAATGGCTATTAGGAAAGGTATTAGACGGTGACATCATGTGTTTACTCTTGAACACAGCAAAGAATCGAACATTTCTGCATTGCTAATAACATATAAATAGACATATAATAATAATCGATATAATTGAAGAGAAATGTACAAAATACGAGGGAGTGTTGACACATCGTCAGTTGACTTGCTTAGTCGAGTGAACATAGTGCTCCTGCTCAATTTCACATAATCAGCGTGAGCAGTGGTATTTAATAACATATAGTTATAAATAATAGACATTATTATTAATACTGTATTAATAACATTTATAAATACCATTGCCCAAACACTGCCTCCACCACACACTCAACTACAAGCACCAACACATGATTATTGTGAATGTTTGGAAGGCAGGAGAAAGTTCACTCCAGCATAACAGTCACGCAGTGTCACCACCCCGATTTTGTAATTCCTTCTCAATATACATTTTATATATTATTATATATATATATATTTACTATTATAAGTGGCAGAATTAATCTTGCAGTGTCAAGAGTAAACAAGAGTCACCGCTAATACCTGTCCGAAAGCATCATAGCAGTCTGAATGGGTTTACATTATTTTACTGTAGTTTAAAGCAAATAAGACAACAAAAACTACCACATGATGTGGAGCGCTGCCATTGCAGGTCGGAGGGATAGGCTCGCAGTGCGGGAAACTAATATATTGCTGGAATGTGGCTGGGAATTTGGCGGTTGGGAATTCACGAATGTTTGAAGCCCGTGAAAGTTGAAAACGTGAATGTTGAGGGAGACCTGTACACTTTACTGAATATTTCTGACTTAACATTAACTCATGTACAGTATCCCTTTATATTGACAGCTCACTACATCACAATAAAACAAAGGCAAAAAAATGCTGCAAGCGATTCATATTATGATTATGGCTGTACCAAGGATGCTCCTTAGGGTCATTTGCAGACAGATTGTACTGGGAAAAAGAGTGACAGGTTGTAGATAAATGAGCCAAACTAAACTGATATGCAATGCGTTCTGCAAGTGCCATTTACATTAGTTTACTAATGTGATATAGGTATTATATGCAGAGCACAAATTCTCCCCAGATTATTAGAGTTAATAAAACCCTTCTTGTGTTGCTATACTGCAAACATCAGCTTGTCTTTTTCTGTAATATTAAAATAATATTGATTAACATTCACTGTGCAGATTGTATATACTAGTTTACAAATAAACTTTTTGGTAATGACATAACTGTATGTCTTATATCTAAGTTTAAACAAAATCACATAACTACAGGGAAAAAGGATATTTTAAACCTGAAATGGGAAAGGTGTTATTCGCAAAGATTAAATTTCGATTCGGAATTCTGTTGGATGAATTTCTGAATTAAAAACAAAAAAGTATTAACACAGTTAATTACAACAATTGTATAG